CTTGCACACTCAAGGAAACACATACCCAGGAGAAGGCTTGTATACCCTGTGAAGCACACACACCCTGGAGAAGGCTATTCACACCCAGTGTAGCACACATACCCTAGAGAAGGTTGTGCACACCCACTGCAGCACATACAAGCTGGAGAAGGCTGTGCACACCCCGTGCAGCAGGCACACCCTAGAGAAATCTGTGCACACCACTGCAGCAGGTACATCTTGGAGAAAGCTGCGCACAGCCACTGCAGCAGGCGTGCCCTAGGTTCCCCGCAGGTGGTGTGTGCCATGTACCAGTCTTCTTAGGGTTTTCCTTCTGAGAATTGTTACCATTAATTTAGTTCATTACAGAATTGGTCTTGGGCTTCCCTCTTTGCCATGGATGCCAAAAGTCAAACTGCAGGAATAGAACTCAGGAAACTGAAGAGCTGCCTAGAATGCCTGCCTTAGGATGGCAGGGGTTGACTGAGGAAGATTTAGGAGCAAATCTTGAACACGTGATGTTCTTCTGTGTACTGCTGTCTTGAGAAGTGAGAGTGAAACCTGTGCATGGTCCAAATGCAGCATCACTGTGGGTGAGGCTGTGCGCTGTCCTACAGCAGCATAAGAACTGGGAGCAGCTGGAGGGCAGTCACGAAGAAGCACTGATCCATCCACCGATTGTTTTATCTGCAGTTTGGGGACACAAGCATCAAAATAATCTGTTTTCTCCCATATTAGTGTATAAATGATTGCTTCTAAAATCATGCATCTGTGTCTGCTCTATTTCATTTTGAAAACTTTTAAGTCCAGGAAACTGGTTTCTCTTGTATTTAATTCTTGAGCAAATGCAACAGTCTGTTCTGCAGCACTCCTGTGGTGCAGCATTGCCCCACTGTGCAAGCAGGAAAAGAAATCAGAAGACCTTGAAAGGTGGATATGCCGATATGAACAATTTCCTTCCAATTTAAACTTACAAATTATGCTTTAGAAAAGTGGGCTGGCCAAGTGCGATGGTGCATGCTTGTAATTCCAGTGCTTGGGAGGCTGAGACAGGAAGGTTGACGTAAATGAGGCCAGCCTCAGTTAATTAATGACTTTAAGGCCAGCTTGAACTACACAGCTAGACCTTGTCAAAGAAGGAAGAAAAATGAGCTTTGAGGGGGCCGGTGAGATGGCTCAGTTGGAAGAAGCACTTCCCTGGCAAGTGCAAGGGCCTGAGTTCAATCCTCGATTCCACCAAAAAAAAAAAAAAGAAAGAAAGAAAAAAGAAAATGAGCTTTGATATATCCAGTAGTTTGTATTTCTCTTGTAATATTCCAGCATATGTACTCTTACTCATTTTTTGTTGTTGTTTTTTGGGTGTTTGTTTGTTTGTTTGTTTTTTGTATTTTTAGGAAAGGGTCTACAGGGTGTTCAGGGTCTCACACCTAGATTGGGCTCTTAGTGATCTGCCTGTTTACAGCCTCCCAAGAGCTAAGATTACAAGCTTGAGCCACCACACCCAGTCTCAACTGCCATCTCAGCTTGCCCTGGGGGCAGGGCCAGCATGGCAGGCCCCGGGATTGAACCCCTGGCCCCTGCACCTACTTGCAGGCACTTTAATCTGCTGAGCTATTTGGCCAGCCCTTCTTACTCGTTTTATGTCACATTTCCAACTAGCAATTATCATTTGCTGCTGATTCTTTGAACTTTGTGAAATACAAGGGTGTCCTTTCAGATGTTTATATTTACTGAACTTTTAGCTTCCTAAACTGACAGTGAATTGTTCGTGTTGGGGACAAACCAAGAGAGAAGTGCTGATTTGTGAATTGCAAGCTAGGTTGTTTCTTATTTTGGGTATCATTTATCACCAATATATCTTGATTGGACAGCGGTGAAATTTATTTTTCTTATTATTTATTTATTTATTTATACTTAGTACAGGGTCTACAGGCTCTCACTACGCAGATCAGACTCATAGTGACCCTGCTTTCAGCCTCCCAAGTGCTGGAATTACAGGCGTGCACCACCATGCCCAGTCTCAATCACTGTCTCAGCGCGGCCCAGGGGCAGGCCAGCATAGCACACCAGGGATGGAACCCTTGCCACTGCGCTCTGCCTAGGCAGGTGCTTTAGTCTGCTGAGCTATCTGGCCAGCCCCAGCAATGAAAGTTAAATGGCTTAGCTTAGTGCATCTGAGAAGTCAAAGAAACCCAGGATCACAGAATAGGATGGAGCCTTCTGCCCCCTGATTTTAACTTCTCATGACCCACATGGTGCTCTACAATGACAGGGCATGTTCGTTGACTCCTGTTTGAGCGTTAATTTTGAAATCTCAGCAGCACCTCCACCCCCCACACCCCCAGGGCCATTTCTAGCTTTCCTCCTCGACCACATCTCATTCTTTACTCTGCTCTTGCTATCATAGCTTTTTATTACTGCTTCTTTAAAACCGTTTCCCAGTTGTGACAAACTGGATAGATGAGGCCAAAAATAAGTACCTGACTCTTACTCTGCCTTCTGTTCCTCTGATCTTCTCTAAGCTGCCTGGTCACGTCCCCTATTTAAATCCTACCTCTTTCATCTCTTACCATTAATCTTTTTTTAAAGGAGAAGTTTGCTTTGGCTTCTTACCATGAGTTCTTTATGACAGTCCTTTTGGGTGAGTGAGTAGTCATGGCTCCATTCCATTCTAACAAGAATGACACAGGATGCCTGTTGCATATGGAAAGGCCACTGGCACTGCAGTGCCCAGGCTGCCAAACAATGAGGTGTCCCTGTGTCCTCCCCCGCCCAGGGCACTACACGCACTCCCTGGGGAGGAGGGTGGGTGTCTCGGTCCTTGCTGCATCCCTAGTATGCCTGGTACAGAACAGACGCTCAGCGACCCTCTGCTGAATCAGCACACAATTATGAGATTTATATTAGCTTCAGATGGGATAATTTGACATTTTTTGTTGTTTTTTTTTTCTAGTGAAGTATCATAATAAATACACTTTTTAATATGGTTTTCAGTGTATAGAGAATGATTCACTTGCATTTCAGCCTTTGTGTATTTCACAGCATCTTGCAGCATTTCATCTGCTCAGTTTCCAACGCAGCAAGGTAGTGCTGGCATTCTTTCTGACTTGCGTCATCCCTGCCAAGACTCTCCTATACCGAGGTCTGACATCCCATTGCTCCATTTGGTTGCCACGCGAGGTGTCTTGCATATTTTGACTGGTCAAACATGTACTCACATTGCTGTCTTCTCCCTCATCAAACTACGGAGGTCTGCATCCCCTGTGTCTGTGTCAGTTAATCCTTGCTCCCTCTTTCTGTCACAGAACTTGGGCTCCCATCGCCAACATCAGGGTCACTGTCACCTCTCCTGCTGTGAAAGCAGGCATTTTACCATAATGGAGCATCTTGACCTTTCACATGTAGGTAATCTATGATTCACCTTTGACCTCAAAAACTTGCACATCTGGTTTTCCATGTGCCATTGTTCTGAAATGAGCTACCTCTACCAGAAAAATCAAATGAAAACTTTTTAAAACAAGTCCTGGAGTGGTGTGGATCTGTTGGGCCCTCAGTGGTGCTTGGGTAAACACACACAAAACCAGTTACACAAAGCACAGGTGGAGGAATCCGAGCTGTCACTTTTCCACATCCACATACCTTGCTATCTGTCACACCAAGTGGGTACATGTGTAGATTGCTTCCTGTATCCCTTAGAGAATGGTCCTGAGATATACAGCTGGCTACTACTATGTTAAAGAACAAATGTGCAGTGGGAAAGTAAGGGATGGGTCTGCTGGACCAAGCGTTATGCTCTTGGGCTATGGCAGGAGAGGAGACAACCAGGACTGTGCTCCAACAGTGAAGCCACTGACGAGGAAATGAGAACTCTAGCTAGTGACCATGGTGCTTGAGAGCTGACATGCAGGCTTGACGGGTAGGATGTGGCACAAGCAGCGTCCAAGATAAGTCTTAGGTTTAGGGCTTAGCTCAGTGTACTCCAAGTGCATCCTAAGAGCCAATGCCAAGTTCAGACTGTCACCTGGAGATGATTACAGAACAAGACAGTAGCCACTGAAGAATTTTTATAGTACTTTGATAGGGAAATAGTATGCTTATAAATATAATTTTGCATGCTTTTTATTTTTTATCCTTATTATTTATGTATTTGGTACAGGGTCTCGCTACACAGCTCAGAATCATAGTAATCCTCCTGTTTTCAGCCTCCCCAGTGCTAGAATTACAGGCGTGCACCACCATGCCTGGAATCAGTGCGCCCAGGGGTGGGGCTGGTGAGGCACCATTAGTCCACTGAGCTATCTCACTGGTCCTGCATGCTTTTTAAATTTAATTTTACTAGTAATTCATTTTTATTTCACAAAAGTGCACATTAGAAGTGTTTTAAAACCTGGTTTTCACCACAGTATGGGAAATGCTGGTTTAACCACTTGAGCAAGCGAATGAGTAGTGGTACCATTTCCTGAGAAGAAAGGGGCAGGCCAGGGCACCTTGTGAGCAGAAGCCACTTCCGCACTGCAGCCTGCTGGGCACCCCGATGTGGAGTAGGTGCTGGGTGTGTGGCTCTGCGATTCTGAGAGACCAGGTTGGAGAAACGGGGCTGGGCACTCTCAGCACAGGGAAGGAGTCTGAAGCCCCGAGGCTGATGAGACCACCAGTGGCCCAGGCCTAGGAGCCAGCAGGAGACTGCTCAGATGCTGGTAGGGAAAGAGCAGGAAAGGAAGCATGGGGTGTCCTGGAGCCCAGCAGAAGAAAGCACTATCACCTCTGACTATCGCTGCTGACAAGGTGAGGAAGAATCAGCTTAAGTGCTGATTCAGTTGGTAAATTTGGAGACCCTGCCAGTAGCAATTTCAAGAGTGAGAACACAAGCCTGATGGGAAGGCTAGGAAAGAATAGCTGGTAAGACAAAGGTCCTGCAACAAGAGTTATTTCAGATGATTCTGTCATGAAGGAAACAGATACAATGAAGGCAGATGTGGGGTTAAGAGAGGTTATTCGCCAGGTGTGGTGGTGCACTCGGGAGGCTGAGGCGGGACTGGTGCAAGTTCTTGGCCACCCAGGGCTACATAGTGCGTTCCAGGCCAGCTAGAATTAGGAAGACCTACTCTCAAAACAAAACAAAAATCAAAAGCAGAGAGTGTAATAATTCAGGACAGGATCTCCTCAAGGAGGCAGATGGAAACATCCAGTAGAGACAGTAGTGAGCGATGCAGGCGTGGGCCTGAATGAGGTACAGAGCAGCTCTCCAGAATAGCAGGGGAGAGCTGGGCGTGCCTACGCACATCTGGAACCCCAGTACTTAGGCAGGCGGAAACAGGAGGACTGCCTTGAATTCAGGGCCAGCCTGGGCTACCAATTTGTGTTCAAAATCAACCTAAACTACATAGTAAGGCTTTGACTCAAAACAAAAACAAAGACCTTATAAGCAGCTCTGCACTTTGAAGTGTACCTTAACAGCAGTTGTAGAATTAGTGCACCTTCATGCTGTTGCCCACAGAACTCTCCTGAGCTCCCTGTGCAAGGGAAGGAGTCGGGATTAACTAAGGCAGTCTGAGATTGCTTTAGTACTTTATGGCAAGGAATTGGAAATGGAATATGCCCAATTTATTCATATTTCATGGTGTGAATCTAACACCTGAATCTTTAGAAGTGCATCCTCAGTTATGCTGATGATATGCCACCATAGAAATAGGAATTCAAATATGTTATTTTGACAGGAATACAAAATTTCAAGCTTTGAACAGAGGCTGATGAATGAAATAGAGTTTCGCCTGGAACGCACACCTGTTGATGAATCTGATGATGAAATTCAACATGACGAGATTCCCACGGGCAAGTGTATCGCTCCCATCTTTGACAAAAGACTCAAGCACTTCCGGGTTACAGAAGGCTCACCGGTCACATTCACCTGCAAAATTGTTGGGATACCTGTTCCAAAGGTAGGGGTGGATGGCCAGCCAGTTGACCAACCAACAACACCCAGAACTATAGACAGTGCCTTTAAGAAAAATTGTTCTCTAGTGAAGTGTCCCCAGAGGGAATGAGTAGGCACCAAAAAAATTATCAAAACCTAGAGGATCAAGGACTGGGAAGATGGCTCAGTAGAATAAGTGCTTCCCTGGCAAGTGCAAGGGTCTGAGTTCAATCCCCAGTTCTGGGGGCAAAACAAAAACAAAAACAAAAACATAGAGGATCAGACTAAAAGAGATACCAGGAATAGGATCATTACATAGGCCCAAAAGAAATTACATTTAAATTGGAATTTTTCTAAAAGTTTAAAATATGCTTCATCATAACACTATATCTTAGACTGTCAATTTTCTTAGCCATTAAACTCATCAAATTGATACTTTTCAGTCTGTTTAATTCCTATTGCATATCCACCGGGTGCCTGTTGTACAACATGAGCTATATTTGTACCATTATCATTGAATTGGTAAATGCCAAAAATGTCATATCATTATCACAGGCTGCTGAAGAATCTTCTGAGTCACCCGATTGTTTGGCAGTCAGCTGAGAGAAGGCTTTACACCTGGCGCAGTAGCCGGGCTCTGGGCTCTGCTCTACAAACACTAGTGCAGCGTTCTCATGCATGGTGAGACACCAGGCAAAACCAACTGCCGCCAGCACTTCATCTCCCTGTCTTTGAGAATCTCCTTGACGCATGCAGAATTTACCCATGAAAAGCTGTATCTATTAATCTGGATTAGAAGAAAGACTTAGCAAATTAATCCTAGCCTTGTTCCACTTGGTATAATACACCTTGGTATCATTTCATGCAAGGTGAGCAATTTCAGGTGCTGAGATTTGCAACTGCAAAAGACCGGAGCTTGTTAGGAGCATAACACAGGAAAAGACCAGGCTCCTGGTTTGCAGTTTTGCATCTGAACGCAATTGGTCTTCTGCGTGTCTTTTAAACTAATTAGGTACAATAAAAATAGTCAAAATCTTTCTCTTAACCCCAAATTATATCCACTTTTTACTTAAGCACTGCGTAGGTGCAGAGGAGGGGCACGCATGCGGTCGCCGAGGGTCTCCCGACTGTCCCCAGCCGCAGCCCAGGCGCCGCCCGCGCCCCGCCTCTCGGCCTCCGAGGACAGACGATGGGACAGCGGCGTAAACTCTGCGCTCTTTCACTGCAGGTTTACTGGTTCAAAGACGGGAAGCAGATTTCCAAGAGAAACGAGCGCTGCAAAATGAGGCGAGAGAGCGACGGGACGTGCTCGCTGCACATCGGCCGCGCCAGCGGCGACGACGACGGCAACTACACCGTCATGGCCGCCAACCCCCAGGTGCGCCCTCCCGCGTGCGCGGGCCAGGGCCACTAGGGCATTTTCCCCAGCATCAGAATCATTCATTTTTGTCTTTATCAAGTGAGGTATCATAAACACAGATTAACAGCCTGATAGACCTCATATTTATCAACTCACTGACTTTTGAAGTCATTGTTGTTCTATGATGTGTCTTTAGAGAATTACTTCAAAAGGGTTTATATGTCCCTCAAGCTTAAAATATCCTTTTATCTTTTTTTTTTTTGCATTCTTTTTTAAAATAACAATTGTAAACTCATAATCTTCCATTTTCCTTTTCTGAATAAAACTAAGCTTCAAAATTCCTCTAATAAGGTAGAATAAATTTCTTAAATTACTATTGGAATGGAAAATTCAAAACTATAATTTCCACTCATCCACTTTTCCTATGGAAATAGCAGTTTTGATGAGTCTCTTGAAGAAAGTATTAAACTATTTGGCTGTGCTGTGTGCATTGTGGCTACCAATAACATTAATGTCACAAAAAATTCTTTGTTTTGTTGAGACAGAATTACTTCATAGCCTGGGCTGGCTTCAAACTTGCTCCTAATCCCCCTGTGTCAGCCCCTGAATGCTGGGATTACACACATGCACCACTGTGCCACAAGCAACGGTGCGTGCGTGCATTCTGTTCATTGCTCATGTTGAAAAGTAAAATCACCACAATATTCTTAAAAATCTACCCCTCTGAGCTAGGCATTGTGGTACACACCTGTAATCCCGGCACAATGCAGGCTGAGGCAAGAGGGTGGCAAGTACGAGCCCAGCCTGGGCAACCTAGCAAGACCCTGTACCTGAGTAAAAATATGAAAGAGCTGCGTACAGAACTCAGTGTAAAGGCCCCAGGCAGCTCAAGCCCCAATAATACACACACACACACACACACACACACACACAATTTTGTTCCCCTGGAGAATTTGCAGTGATTTAAGAAGTCATATTTTCATTTCTCCAAAGAAAAATTCATACAAGGAAAATTTTCATAATGTTTTGGTGCAGGAAAAAAGTTTACATAAATTGAAAACTCTGGATTTCATCTTGTTTTAACTTTGTTTTCTGTTTCTCAGGGGAGAATCAGCTGTTCTGGCCACTTAATGGTACAGGGTGTACCTCTTCGCAGTCGACTGACCTCTGCCGGTCACTCCCACAGGTAAAGACATTCAGAATCCCCCAACCTGAGACCCTCCTGCCTCGCTCTCCCTCAGGCTGAGATTTCAGGCTGAGTCCTCCTGGGCCACCTACCAGACTCTATCTCAAAATTTAAGAGGGTGGGGTGCCTTGGGAATGTAACAGTAATAAAGCACCCTGGGATTGATTTCCCAGTAACGCCCCCAAAAGAATCCCCCATTTCTGGTACTCTCCCACATGCCTACCCACGCAATGAGCATAGAATTTGTTGAGTAACAATATAGATTGTTACTTTGGGAGGCAGGAGCTGTTACTGGGGGATTCACACCAGAGTCTTTACACAGAGGTATACTTTTTCTTATTTTGAGACAGAATCTCGCTAAGCTGTCCATCTGGACTTGCCATCCTCCCACCTCAGCCTCCCAGGACTGGGATTACAGTGTGCACCACCACTCCTCCTTTATGAATTGTCACTTAGGGGTAGAGCTCACCTGCAAAACCAGCATCGTCTAGAGCTTGTTGGCAGTGAAGAAGCCTAGATCCCACACCAGACCTACTAAGTCACAACCTGCAGTTTAGCAAAATCCACAGATGATTCATAAGCACAATAAACTTCAAGAAAAACAAGTGTTTGGCCCACTTTCAATGGCTCAAAGTTTGTAACCATTAGTAGCTCTGTGTACATAATCAGTCCCTTTGGATTAAATTATTACCTCTTCTATAGTAGCTGGGGATGCAGCTCAATGGTAAAGCACATGTCCAGCATGTTCAGTCCTGGGATTCAATCCCAAGTATCCCCAAAACCAGCCAGTCAAACTACATTTGTTATTTGTATAGAGATCAAGCATCTTGCTGCACTTGGCAGTGTTCCTCTCTGACTCTCCTGTCCACTAAGAAGAAAGCAGCTGGCCTTCCTCTCAAGTCTTAGCAAAGCATTCCATAGTTGCTGACATGGGTGAATTAAATGTGATTTACCACAGACACAAAAATAGTGACCCATGTTTCAGTCACAGTATTCACCACCATTGCAACTATACCTCCCCCCTCTTTTTTTTTTTTCAAGAGCAGCTGTTCCTCTTGGTCAGTCTTACCCAGTTCATGGGCATCCTGCCATAATTTACAGCCAGGTTAAATTTATGACTCAGAGACATAGAGATTGTAGCTGCTTTATTTTGGCTAATAAGATGAACTTCTTTTTTGGCACTCACTTGAGGTTCAGGTTGAATACAGATTCATTTGTTTATTCTGAGGCCTTTAGAACAACTGGCCCAGCCCACAGCAACAGAAGCCGAACCACTTAACCCAATGTGACTTCAGAGACAAAGATGCTAAAGCCTGTTTGATTATAGATCTCACAAGAGAACCCTACACTCTGTGAGATGCTTACCACATTGGGTTTTTTTTCTTTTTAACATTAGCTGCACATCATTGTTAACTATTTATTTTTACTGGGGTTTTTTGAGTATCACAAGCCCTTTCCCCCTCAAAAAAAAATCTACTGCCCATGTAGATTTGTAGCATGCATATATGCATATTGCTATAAGTTTGTAAATTTGTGTCTGTGGTTGATACCTGAGTATGCTTGTCACAGGGGAAGGTCCAGACTGCAAGAAAAAGACAAAGAGCCCCTTCAGGAACGCTTTTTCCGACCACATTTCCTGCAGGCTCCTGGGGATATGGTGGCTCATGAGGGATGCCTCTGTCGCCTGGACTGCAAGGTAGACTCTTCCTACCTGTTCTTAGTTCCAGATTGGTTAGATATTGGTTTTGATTATTTGTCTGCCTTTATTTTTTATTTACTGGTTTGTGGATTTATTTGTTTTGTTTTTGTTTACAAAAGAGTCCCAGAAAAGGGAGAGTTTGCCTGGATTCAATACCAGGCAAAATTATTTCATAAAGTTTAGAATCATTCTATCTTATGAAAAATTACATTGGTATTATATCCAGAGGCAGAGATGACATGACCTGCGCATCATCCCCATGGCTTCTGGAAACCCTTTCTGAAGGTGAAGCCTGCGTGTGACATTCGCATGCTGCACATGATCGCAGTGAGCTGCAGTCTCTGAAAAGACTGAGGAGTTATTGTCCTAAGAAGCCTGCGGTTGAGGAGAGGAGAGGTTTCTCCTGCTAATCGACCTCCCTCACCTTTAGTAATTTCTACATTCTTATTTTTCAACCAGAAGCTAGTTTTTTTGTTGAGCAGGGTAGAGATCTTCTAGCAGGTCACCCCTTCTGCTAAAGACAAAGGCGCAGAACAGTATTAAAAAAATTAGATGCAGATTAGTTATATATTTGTGATTTTGTTCTCCTTTGGCTGCCTACATGACCTTCAGGTTTTAATTTTTTTATCATTTATTTATTTATTTACTTTGGTACAGGGTCTCACTATGCAGTTCAGACTCATAGTGATCCTCCTGTCTCAGCCTCCCCAGCACTGGGATTACAGGCGTGCACCACCACGCCTGGCTTTGGGGCCGGCTCAGCATGCCCAGGGCCAGTGCAGTTTGTGGTACTGGGGTCCTTGCACTTGTCAGGCAGATGCTTAGACCCCCGAGCTATCTCTCCACCCCCCACAACCTTCAGGTTGAGCATTTAGTCCCCCTCTAAACTCTCAAAACCTTCAGTGCCTGTGTCACATCCCAGTGACTCTGACTTAACGCTTTATGTAGCATCAGGATGTTTAAAGTCCCCCGTGGGATCTAACACATGGCAGAATCGGAGAGCCCGGGCTCAATGTCTGACCTGCTGCACATCCAGCTTTCGCTTGCTGGATATGTAAACAATATATCATCTCTGATGGATCCTGCAGCCCATGCCATCTTCTTAGGTTCATTCTCATTTATTCCCGCCCAGAGTATGATCACATGGGTTGATCATGCCTCAAACCAGGCTGAATACCCAGTTTAAATTCACACAGCCATTCTGCTCCAGAGGCTGCTAGGGGAAGTCCTCTCTGCTCTGTGTTTTCTCTCACTGTGTATTTGGTGCCAAACATGGGTGAAGAATTCTACTACTGAACGAATCTGCCCATGGTCAGTCTGTGCTGCTGTCCGCAGGTGAGTGGCTTACCACCCCCAGAGCTGACATGGCTGCTCCAAGGTCAACCTGTGCTACCTGATGCCGCCCACAAGATGCTTGTCCGGGAGACAGGGGTGCACTCGCTGCTCATCGACCCCCTCACGCAGTGCGATGCGGGCACCTACACGTGCGTGGCCACCAACAAAACTGGGCAGAATTCCTTTAGTCTGGAGCTCACAGTGGTCGGTAAGGCTTGCTGCTGGGACCCCAGGGTGTGACTCCCTTCCAAGTTGTTGTCCAAATTCCTTAGTTGTTTGCCCCACCAATCTGTTTCCTTGTGGTGTAAGTGGTGCATGTCCTACATGGCAGCCTGAGACTATGAGGAGCCACACATGTGCCATACGCCACCACTATAATCATTCATTGCCAGTCGCCCAATGTGCACTCGGGTGCCCACTGCATTCCATGCCTCTGCCTTGCAGTCTGTTGCCCCTGGAATGACCTGGGCTCTTCTGTTTCCCATGGCTCGCATGCATCAGTTTCCCCTCTGCCCAGCAACCTGACGTCACCCCTGACACAGCTTCCTCCTGTCCTCCTCTGTGTCTCCGTGGCAGTTAGAAAGGTGGCACCTGAGACTCTGGGATGTGAGGTCAGAGAGGGCTGATTGTGGGTCCCTGCGGGGCCTGCATGGTGCATGGACTCGGTGCCAGGCAAAGACTATATTGATGATCAAAGAAAAGCTTTGCTGAGGAAACAATGTGCAGGAGAACATGGCAACAGAGAAGACAGCAAGACACCAGCCTGTGCAGGCTCCCCAGGAGCAAAAATCCAGCCAGAATTAACCCCAGGGCAGGGCTCTGTGCTAGGCCTTCTCCTGCTGTTCCACATGGTCCCTACAGGGAGCCAGGGGCTTCTTTGTGCCCGTCTGAGTGGCAGTTTCCCCTGTGTATCTTTTCCTTTTCTCACTCTTATTTTTTTTTCCAGCCAACAGAAGAGAAAAACTGATTTTGCAAAAAAAAAAAAAAAAACCTGATTTTGCAGAGCTATATCGATTGGCAGGCCTTGTCCTTTCCCCCACTCTTTTCCTAAATCATTGACTCAGAACTCTAAGGTTCTGACCAAAGGCCAAACCTCTTTGGGACGCATAAGTTTGTGTTTTTAGAAATAACAGTACAAGGGCTGGCGAGATAGCTCAGCAGACTAAGTGCCTGTTCAGGCAAGTGCAGGGACAGGGGTTTGATCCCTGCCCCCAGGCACAATGAGCTGGCCAGAGACCAAGCGCCTGTAATTCTAGCACTGGGGAGGCTGAAAACAGGAGGATCATTATAAATCCAAGCTGCATAGTGAGACCCTGTACCAAATACATTCTAGAAAGAAAGAGAGAGAGAGAGAGAGAGAGAGAGAGAGAGAGAGAGAAAGGACAGTACAGTTCTATAGGTGTGAGCCTTTGTTCAAAATAAAATGGTTGGGGGAATTAATATTAGTGTAACTTCCATGAAATAAACTCCTCTAGAAAAGAAAAAAGGATCAGTTTTCAATTGTCCAGGTGTGGTGGTGAATGCCTGTAATCATAGTACTTGGAAGCTGAGGCAGGATTTTTGCAAGTTCAAAGCCAGCCCAGCTACATCAACGAGTTCAAGGCCAGCCTGAACTATAAAGTTGAGACCCTGTTTAAAAAAACAACAGTACACAGAGTATATCAGTTCTCCAAAGTTACTGTTGAGGCTGGCCAAATAGCTCAGCAGATTAAAGTGCCTACAAGCAAGCACAGGGGCCAGAGGTTAAATCCTGGGGCCTACAGTGTATTATTTGTTGAAAAATAAAAAAAATAAAATAAATAAATAAATCCTGGGGCCTGACTTGCTGGCCCTGCCCCTGGGGCTTGCTGAGATGGCAATTGAAACTGGGTGTGGTGGCTCATGCTTGTAATCCCAGCTCTTGGGAGGCTGTAAACAGGTGGATCACTATGAGTCCAATCTAGTAGTGAGACCCTGAACACCCTATAGACCCTTCCCTAAAAAAAAATACCCCCCCAAAGTTACTGTTGAAGAAAAAAGTTACTACCGAGCAAGAAAAGAAATGCCTTTAATTCCACCATTCCTAGCATCTGTACCCACGTCTCTGACCTGAGGGCTGTCTTGGTGGGGTGTGCAGAGATGACAGCCACTTGCTTTTTGAACTATTTTGGAGCTGTCCCACGGCTGAGCCTCCTCGGAAGCCCCAGGTGAGGCAGGTGCACCATGCCGCTGAATTTCTCAGGGAGCTCCTTCTCTCGTGCAGCCAAGGAGGTGAAGAGAGCGCCCGTGATCCTGGAGAAACTGCAAAACAGTGGTGTCCCCGAGGGCCACCCCGTGCGGCTGGAGTGCCGTGTGATCGGCATGCCCCCACCCGTGTTCTACTGGAAGAAGGACAACGAGACCATCCCCTTCACCCGGGAGAGGGTCAGGTAAGGCGGTGCCACCGTGGGGACCGTGTGGGCTGCCACCCGGAGGACACTGCAACCTGCGCCTGGCCACTTTCCCTTAGCACCTGTGTTTTTGTGCAAATCAAGAATTTATTCCCAGGGGCCGGGGAGACGGCTCAGTAGAATAAGCGCTTCCCTGGCAAGTGCAAGGACCTGAGTTCAATCCCCAGTTCCGCAAAAAAAAAAAAGAATTTATTCCCATTCGTTATTGGGTGATGGTCCATTGTATGGCTGTCTCGGAGTTTTAAATTTTTGAATTTCATTGTAATATTTTGAGACAGGGTCTCACTATGTAGTTTAGGCTGGGCTTTAACTCGCTATGTAGCCCAGGCTGGTCTCAAACTCACAGTGATCCTTCTGCCTCAGCCTCAGTACTATGGGTGCATCACCGTGCCCAGATGGTTGTTTTTAAAGTGACCCTAAAGATGCAGTTTCCCAAAGTGGTTGGCTTGATCTTTCCTGACCCACCTTGTTTCTTTGCAGTTTTAGTTTTGCACCGCTAGAGGGAGAGCAAACAATGGTAGTTGCGTACAAAGTCGACGGAAAAATTTTTTCCCCACCATAAGCTGATTTTGTCCAGAATTTTGATATCTAAGAGGTGTAGGCTTATATCCGTATAGTCCTTGGCTGCACAGGAACCACCTGGGGAATTTTTTAAAGCCCTATTGCTTGGGTCCCAGCCTGAGGGCCTGAAGTCATCTGGCCTGGGTCCACCCCGTAGGCCAAGGCTGAAGAGGAGTGAGGCAGAGGAATGAAGAAAACCCAAGCTGCCTCCTCCTCGCCCTCCTGAGAGGGTGACCAGGAGACACCCTCTCAGGCTTTCCTGACACAGTTCTCATTGAAACTCAACTGTAGTTGTGAAAACCAGGTTCCTCTGGTGGGGAGCGGGGCGGTGGGGAGGACAGAACAGACCCCAGCCACTGGTGTCCCGCTCCTGCGAGCGCCAGCAGGTCCATTATGCTCCTACCTTTACTCTGGGAGGACTGGGGCTTGAACCCAGGCCTTCTTGCTGAGGTGCATCCCAGCCCTTTTTTATCTATGATTTCTTTCTTTTTTTAAATCATTTATGCAAATCTTTTTAATAGTTGGCTTCATAGAAGACAATTCTTTTGTATCTACTTCTACATTTAATCTATGCTTATTACATTTCATATAGTCTCTGGAAAACTCTAGTGTGTACTCCTAAGAAAATAAAAATGGAAAAGCCAAAATAAAATAAAATAGGGATTTGAATAGGAATTTTCTGGAACTGTCCCAACCTAAAGAATGTCTAAAATTATGTAAAACTTGCATAAAGGTATGTAGCAATAACTTGGTTTCTCTTTTTTTTCCATAATTTTATTGAGAAACAAATAGCAATGAGACAGTTTCAAACCAAATTGGTGGGAAAGTTTCAATAATTAACACACTGCATACATTCTTCCTAGTGGTTAATTGCTGTACAAGATGCAGACATGATATCCTATTTACAAACACCATTAGAACAAATCCCTCTATTCATTAAGAGAATGTAACTATATATTTATCCTAACCACTTTGAATATATGGTTGGATTTATCTTTGATTTCTGAGACTAGGTTTCACTAAGTGGGTAAATTGCCCGGGCTGGGCTCCAATTTATGATGCTCCTGCCTCAGCCTCTCGGAATGCTGGGCTTGTAGGCGTGTACCACCAGGCCTGGTTGTACCTTTTTATGTTTGAATTTGCATTTGGCTGAGTTCCCCATTTGTACCTTTGTATAGGAAAAGCTCTGAGCCTTTCCCTAAGCCCTGACCTTGACAGAGAAGCTTCTGTTTCTGATGCAATACAAATATCTTCTTTCACTGCCGGGGAGGTAGCTCAGTAGAGTAAGTGCTTGCCTGGCAAGTGTAGGGGCCTGAGTTCAATCCCAGGTACCATAAAAAAAAAAAGATGGTCTTTTGGGGGCAGGGATATAGCTCAGTGGCATAAGTGCCTGCCTGGCAAGTGCAAGGTCCTGAGTTCGATCCCTGGTTTCGCAAAAAAAATGTTTTCTTTCTTTTTTGCAGTATGCACCAGGATACAACAGGGTATGTCTGTCTCCTCATCCAGCCAGCCAAGAAATCAGATGCTGGCTGGTATACGTTGTCAGCCAAGAACGAGGCTGGCATTGTATCGTGTACCGCTAGGCTGGATATATACGGTAAGTGGAATGTCATTAGTTGAACATCTGTGTGATCAGTACCTTTAAAATCACTTTAGGGCCGGGGAGATAGCTCAGTAGAATAAGTGCTTGCTTGGCAAACGCAGGGTCCCGAGTTCAATCCCCAGTACCGCCAAAAAAAAAAAAAAAATCACTTTAAAGGGGGGCCAAGGAGATGGCTCAGTAGAATAATTGCTTGGCTGGCAAGTTCAGGGGTCTGAGTTCAGTCCCCAGTTCCACCAAAAAAAAAAAAAATCACTTTAAAGGTGCACACCTGTGATTGCAGCTCTCAAGTGACTGGGGCAGGAGGAATACTACCAGTTCCAGGCTACATATGCGACCTTGTCTCAAAAAAACAATACATAAGTAAACTAATTAATTAATTTTTAAAATCATTTTAGGGATAAGGTAGTATGTCTGCATAAATGAAATGAATGTATTATGTTTTAGTGTTTAAGAGATTTTCAGGGGCTGGTGAGATGGTTCAGTGGTCTAAAGCACCTACTTAGAACAAGCTTAGCAAAGCACAGGGACCGTGGTTCAATCCCCCAGCACCACATGCCAGCCAGCCCGCCCCCTGGTG